AGGTACGCGAACTTATCAGTCGCCACTACCATCTCCACCGCCCCCCCGCTAATAACAACAGTTAAATCGCAAGTGAAACTCGCAGGCCGGCTCCGGTGACATGAAAGTGCACATGACTCGGAACGAGCGTGGGGTGCTTCGTGGGAAAAGGCTGGCGAGTTGCAGAGAGACCGGTTGGTCACCAGGACGCCTTACTGATTCATGCTATACCTGTGCGTGTGTGTATGTAGGGTGGTGGGGAGTCGTGTCGGGCAGACTGTCACACATCTGTTTTTTTCTCATCTTCGCTGTTGGATGCATTACAACAAATACTCACACTCAAAACGCGCTTTAGACGCAGACTCTTAACCCGTTTAGCTAGCCCTTCACCATAATAATTGCGATATCCAGCTGTGGTTGTGGGTCTACCTTTATCATTATTTTCGAATAGTTGCAGTGGGATTTGGCTAAGAGACTACAGTTTTCCTCTCTTCGGAAGGAAGGCATTGGACTTTGAGTATAATTTTATCCACGCGTTGGACAAACCTGTGTAAAAGTTGCAGTTTTAATAAAGCATCTGTCAGTTGGAGCCAAAGCTAGCCCAAGTATAGTAAAGATGGTTGCTGCCAATAAGATGGAACAGGTTGATCCGTTTTGCGTGAAAATCTACTGAAGCCATTGGGGGTGAGATCAAATCCCTATTGGTTGATGCACGCTCACCGACAACTTACAGAAATCTCTCGTTCCATTCTGCTTTGGGGCTCATGGTGGATGTTCATCAACCAATGTCAACATTCCTGATCTAAACCGGAAATATTATTGGCCAATATCCCCTTGGATTATAGCACCGATCTCCTAACCTACAGGTTGCTGGTTCGAAATAAGGTTTACTACCTAGAGATGAGTATGGCTGGCTGACAAGCCTCCCTTATTCACTATCTTTTCCATCGGTAATAACCGCAAATCATCGATGCGAGTATAATCCACATAAGCTAATCAACCCCGTTGTGCCGCTTTTGAACGCGTTTCTCTCAATCACCTCCAGTTTGGTGACGTTATCCGATTCATACGGCGGAGTGATGACCAGGCTGCTAAAAGC